GGTAACACCTTTCCAGCTCAGAAGTTGACACCACGAGTCTCCAGTCATGGTGAACCACTGGAGAAAATGCCTCCAATGGGAGGTGAGGACAAAGACATACTCAGGGTGCCCAGAGCCCACTCCATTCCTTTAGCCACTAACCCTCCTCCCCTCTGTTATGTTATTAGCAATCTGGGCTTGAGACTTGTTAAAATGTTCTAAGGAAGTATTTGGGAGCTAAATTAATCTTCCTCCCTTTCCCTCTTTACCTCAGCTCCATTGTCCAGCCCACAGTCTTCCCTGCTTTAGAAGGAGAGGTCATTCCACAGGCCCGGAGGTGGGGAGCAAAGCCCCACTACCCTTGAGGCTCAGGTCTTTGCTTTCCCCACTTGACTGAAAAGGTCCCACCCTCAACTGGGCCCTGGATATCTTCTCTAACTGGGCCACTAACATGGATTTAGTTCTCTTCAGGAAGAGATTTTTAGTCTGTTATCTGCCATCTACATCCATTATTCAGGGGAAAATGGGGTGCTCCTTTAGTAGGACATTCTTGGCAAGAAAGATGTGATTATTGTTTTACTTTGGCCCTCGACTCAGTTGACTGAGTCGAGGGCCTTCAATACTAACAAGTACTCTGTGGTGTAATCATGTGCACACATCTCTCTAACATACTGCTAGGACTAGGTCGACCAACTTATTGTGGCTTAATGTGTACTTTGTCAGTTTTAGCACTGAAACACTGGTGTTTGGGGATCCCAGAAAACAAGAACAGGTGATCTTCCTTAGATCTGACTTTTCTTAAAATGCTAAGCTCTTTGATTTGATTGATTTAGAAGGAGCAAGAGAGACAATCCACAACATGGCTGATCTGAAGTCCTCCTGACCTCTCCACCAGATCAAGAAATTGCATGCATTTCTTCTGATTTTCAGTCTGGAAGCAATTGGGGCTACAATCTCTGCTTACAACTTTTTTTGGATTGTTCCCAGGATATTTATTCCTGTTTGCACTTACACTTATAAGTAGGAGGTCATCATTAAATGTTGATTTTGTTAGAGTGGAGGCTGTACCAGAGTATGATCTATGGACACTGTGAACTGTCATGCTGTGGTGTGTGTGTGTGTGTGTGCGCACATACACACATAGATTATGCAGAGGAGAGAATCTCAGAGCTTGAAGATAATGCTTATGTGCTAAACAAATCAGATGAAAAAGAACACAGAAGCAAGAGACAAGAGCATAACATATAAGAAATGTGGGATTATGGAAAGAAACCAAATATAAGAATTATAAGAATCTCAGAGAGAGAAGAAGAAAATACACAAGGGCTGGAAAATCTTTTTCTTATAATACTGGAGGAAAATATGCCTGGTCTGGCAAGAAACCTAGATATTCAGATACAAGAAGCACACAGAACTCCTGGGACCCTCAACGTGAAGAGGCAAACACCATGGCACATAATTATCAGGCTGGCCAAAGTAAACATGAAAGAGAAAAATCCTTCGAGCAGTAAGACAAAAACCACAGATAACCTACAAAGGAAAACTAACAGCAGACTAACTGCAGACTAACTTCTCAAATGAAACCCTATAAGAATTCGGGAAGAAAATGTGGGGAAGACTCTTTTAGACATCAGTCTAGGTAAAGAATTTATGAAGAAGACTCCCAAAGCAATCACAGCAGCAACAAAAATAAACAAATTGGACCTGATCAAATTAAAAAGCTTCTGCACAGCCAAGGAAACTGTCCGTAGAGCAAATAGATAGCCTACAGAATGGGAGAAAATATTTGCTTTCTACACATCTGATAAAAGTCTGATAACAAGAATCTACAAGCCAGAAGGAACTGGGGCCCATCCTCAATCTTCTTAAACAGAACAATGGCCAACCTAGAGTTCTTTATCTGGCAAAATTGAGCTTCATCTATGAGAGAGAAATAAAGACTGTCCCAGATAAGCAATCACTGATGGAATTTGCGAAGACCAGACCTGCTTTGCGGGAAGTACTCAGACCTGCATTATACACTGAACAACGCATAGACACCCACCAAATTAAAAACATTCAAGAGTTAAATCCCAGAACCTGGATTTCACAATGGCTTGAGAGGTAAAACAAAACAATAAAAACTTACCCAACAATATGAACAGCAACCTACCTCAAATATCAATCCTCTCAATAAATGTGAATGGCTTGAATTGTCCTTTGAAGAGACATAGACTGGCTGAGTAGATAAAACATCATAAAGCCTAGTATCTGCTGTCTCCAGGAAATGCATCTAACCCACAGAGATGCTTTCAGATTCATGGTCAAGGGTCAAAGTTTCAGGCAAATGGAAACTAAAAGAGAGCTAGCATAGTGATTCTGATCTCAAGAGAAATTTAAAGATATTTTGAACTAAATGAAAATGAACATATAAATTACCAAAACTTATTTTGAGATGCTGCAAAAGTAGTATTTAGAGGACAATTTTTAGCTGCAAATACATACAATAGAAGAGAAGAACAATCTAAAATCAATGATCTCAGCTTCCACCTTAGGGAATTAAATCACTAGCATAGTGCTTGATACTTATTGTTCATAAGTAGTGGTCCTTTTATTATTAGGTATTATTTCTGAATGGGTGAACGAAAACAATATTCCCTTCTGAGAGACCGAAAGTCACAGTCCTGCAGGTTCAGCAAACCTCTCAACTCTACTACAACCCGTAGTCTTATCAATTGCAAGCCCTCTGTGAGGCTTGTAATGGGGCAGGAGGTTCAGGATGAGTTTGTATGAGTGGGGCAGGCCCCAGCAGGCCCTGGGGTTCTGCTGGAAATTTCTGGGCAGGGCCACCATGCTCTGAGATGGAGGTGGAACACAGCCAAGCTTCATGGCTTGAGGCACCTGGCCAGCTCTGGGATTTACTGAAGGTCCTGTTCTTCTGCCCAGATCTATATTTTCCACAGGTCTTCCTTTTCCTCCTCTGTGGTTCTGAGTTAGGTGGATTTGGGGTCCACCTCTTTGCTTCCTCCCGGGTAATGTTCATTGCTCCAGTCTGTTCTGCTGCCTACTCATGTAGGAGGAACAGTCATGGGCTGGGAGTCAAGTCTAGACCAAGCTCTGCCACTCTCTTAGTGCTTGGACAAGGCATATACATCTCTGGGCCTCAGCATCTCTGCATGTACAGTGAGGGTCAGAATTGGATAAGCTCCCATCACACTGAGCTCTACATTTGGGGACTCTCTGAGTCTGTACATTGCCCCCAATACAGGTGACAATGTCTCTAGGGAGAGTCTTAGACAGAGTCACAGGGATCTGGGATGTCAGAGTCCTGCTCACTAGAGGAATCTTTCTCTTCTTAGATTGTAGGCAGACTTTGATAGAAGATCCAGTTCTGGGTTTTCTCCCTGGCCAATTCCCCACTGCATGGGATTGGCCCATCTATGTTCACTCCTATCAAGGCTTTCTTGAGGTCCTGAGGGCTTCTATGACCCACTCTTCCTGCTGACCTTTGGAATCAGCTGACCTGAGATGGAACAGAGGGAGATTCAGCCCAGCCTCATGGCCCCATGCTCCTTCCCTTGGACAGAGAAGTTAACCTGAAGGTGCTTTCCTCTTCTGACTCCAGGGAGGTGCCTGAAGATTGAAAGAAGTAAGGAGCAGAAACCCACCAGCCTCCTGTTGCCCTTGACCCCAGTGTAGCTGTCTCCATAGGCCATGGGGAAGGCAGGCCAGAGTCACCGACCATAGGATGGTTCTGGATCCCAAGGTGGGCCACAAAGATTGTAATGGACACATGCTTGTGACTTGAGGGGCACCTGTGCATTTTGTCCTCCTAGAAGGAGAGGGAATAACAAGGGTCTAAGAACCACCCCTCTGCCCTGTGCTGCAGTCCTGGGGCTGTGTCCTGATGAGGGTAGGAGGGTGGGTCAGGCTCTCCCTCCTGGATTGGCCTTTCATCCTTTTGCATGGTTCTCTCCTCAGATGGCCTGAGCTCCGGTCAGTGCCTGGCCTCCTGCTCAGCTCTGGGGTAGAGAGAAGAATGACACCCCCACACTGAAGCTGAGGCAGGAGGCTTCAGGCTGGGGGATGGTGAGAAAGGTTGCATGGAGCAGACACAAAGGTAGAGGGTAGGGTTAAGGCGACATGGTGCTACTGTTCATGTCCGGGAGCTAGAGAAGGGCTGATGTGGCATGCAGGGCATGCACAGGGACAACGGGGCATTGATGTTTTCTGATGGATGGCTCTGTGTCCAGCAGCTGGGGCCCAGGCATAGGGTGGGGGAAGAGCAGAGGGCAGGGCCAGCTGCTCCAGACCCCTCCAGCCAGGAAGGCAGAGTTCCAAGAGCCCTATCCAGCAGAACTCAGTTTCCCTGGCTGGAGTTGAGTGGCACGCATGGTCACTCTTAGCTCAAGGGCGGCAGGGAAAGCGGGGATGGGACTTTCAGGAGTGGCTCACACTAAGTGGGACCCACTTCCTGGCCCTGGGCAGTCTGATGCCCAAGCACCACAGGGGATCAGTAAGCTTTGAAGAGGGGCTGGGTGCTGGGGGACCACAATGAATGCCTGTCCCAAACTTCTCTCTCCCCAAACCCTTAGCACCAACCTTGGCTTCATCAAAATTGTTTCAGTTGTGACATGGTGTGTTTTTCTGCCCCTGAGTGTTTGCCCATAGGTCAGTGTCTGGGTCCCTCTCCCTGGCCTGCTTGTTGGAAGGCCATTAGGTGTAGCCTTCATTCAAGTGCCACGTCCAGCCTGGCTTTCCTTTGCCCGTCTCTCCTCCCTGAAGACGTTGGGGTCAACAGTGCCTCATCGTGCATTGCTGAGCAGCTACCGGTTCTATTTTTCCTTCTCTTCTAAAATGTGAGCATCTCTGGGTGAGGTAAGTTCCTTCCCCCTCAACTCCCAGCCCCCTTTTTAATGCACTCTCCTATCTTCAACATAAAGCAGTGTATGTCTTACACTTATTAAATGTTGTAGATGGAATGAATGGGTCCAGGTCTGAGCGGAAAATGGCTAAGAAAGCTGAGGTCCAAGAGGCCACAGCGGGCAGATGAGAGAATGGCCCAAGAACAAATGTCTTAGAGGTGGTTCCAAGATAGAATTAACCTGGCTGTGTAGTTGAAGTTGCCTAAGGCCTTTTTGGCTGAGTCACTGGGAGACTCCCTGTGGCCCTTCTGGGAGTGGTGAGTGACAGCAGGTGATGCTGCAGGGTGACTGGCTGCTGATACTAGCTGCCTACACTGATGGCTTTGGCAGCAGCAGGAATGATCTGAAGTTGCTTCATGGGGCCTGGGACTCTGTCCTGAGGTTCTTTCCCTCCTCATTCCCTAAACAGCCCAGGCTGACACATATCAGGGCCTGACCTGGGACCTTCCAGTTTACCTCACCAGATAGGGGCTGATGAAACAGGAGAACGTAGGTTACTGGCCTAAATTCCTGGTGGCCTGAGCAAGAAACCACTGGAGAGAGAAGATACAAAATGAACTACATATGGCATCTGAGGAAGATTACTGGAAGTTATGGTCACATTCATAGCAATATTATACAACAATGAAACAAATGCTATAACATAAACCTTATACATTTAATGCTGAGCAAAGAAAGGCAGATAGAAAAGAATATATAGAGTATATTTTCTGTCAAAGTGCATAAAGCTGGCAAAACTATAGCGCTTGGGATGTGTGCTTAGTTAGTAAAAGTGTAAAATAAAGACAAATAAAGACAAAGCCTTATTATCAAGGTCCAGGGAGTGGTTGTCTTGGGGAAAGGGTGAGGGGGCAGTGGTAGGAGGAGGTGCCGGCTACTTTTGAATCTTAGACCTGGGTGATGGATACAGGTGTTCAAGGTGATTTATTCCGTTGTACATCCATGTTTTGTGTACCTTTCCGGGTAGTTGATCTACCTCATAAAATACTTAAAAAGTGCACAAGCCATAATGACCACACACATTTTGCAGGAACATGTACAAATGGAGACAGCACGTTATATTTTCTGAGTGGGGCAGTGGAGCAGGAGTGGAGATCAGAGGAAAATAAACCAATGGAGTAAAATTGGAGAGACTTGCAAGGAATGATTGGTTGATGTTTAAATTCAGGAGTTGAGGATTATGAATAACATTATGAGTCTCTGAGGTAAAAGGTTGGACAAAAGAAAAATTTTAAATATAAAAATTACAAACTATTTTGTAGTTTCTCTGTCTCCCCTGAGCATTTGTCCCGCAGGTCCCCTGCTGTGGGCGACACCCACTCGAGTTTCCTGTGGGTTCTGACTGGAGGCCTCTCAGTGGGGCTGAGGATGGGCTGAAGGGGGCCAGCGAGGTCTGGTGCTGGGGAGTGTGGACGGAAGTGGGGAGGGGACAGTGTGGGGAGCGGGCCACCGGCTCAGTGGGGGCCGGTCGTGGGGGCAGGGGGCACATCTGCACCAGCTCCCTCACTCCTTGTGGGGCTTTCCTGGGAGCAGAGGGCAGACAAGGATCTCCTCAGTGAGGTAGCAGGGCTGGCCCCAGAGGCCCCGGGATGCTGCCGTTGACATCCGGGCTCCTGGTTCCCACACCTGGGCATTCTGGGATGGACATTCTGTAGCAGGTTGGGGCACAGGAGAGCCCAGGGCATGACCATTGACTCCCACACACGCTGTTTTGCAGAGCAAGAAGGAAGGACAGGGGAGACTTTATGGGGCGTTACTACCATGGGGTTTTGCGGGAACTTTACCCAAGCCTTGTGTCCAGGCCAGTTCCACAGGGGTCACTCCACCCTGGAATCCAGGCGGTGGGGCTCAGCGTGGGTCAGGCACCCCCGGGGCTGTTAGATGAGGTTCAAGGGTGGGGGCCTGATGTCAGTACTCAGGGGTCTGGGCAGGAGTCTCCCCTCCTCCGCTGGTGACTTTGTGTACCCACCACCCTCTCTGGATCCCTCCAGGGTCACTGTGTCATGACACCAGACCACCCATCTCCCAGGCCCCTTTGAGGATGTGACCTGAAGATGGCAGTGGAGTGACCCTTCTCCCTCCCTCAACTTTGAGTTCCCAGAGGGCAGGCCCTAGTGTGACCCAGGAGGTTTTGTAGAGGGCACAGGAGTTAGGATTTGAACCAGGGGTTTCCAGGGTCATTTCCTGACTTTGCTGTCTATTAGTGGAGTAAACTGAGGAAGTTTGCTTACATCTCAATGTCCTCTTTCCTAAATTGGAGATACCAGAACCTACCTCATGGGGTTGAAGGGACCAAAAGGAGATGTAGGTACGGCAGGAATCTTGATCTAGGCAGACTGGAAGGTGCAGTGGGTGCAGGCGGGAGTTACGGTTAGCTGTCGGAACGAGTTGGAGGAATGGGTGTACAAATAGAGAGCATGCTGCCTTCCAGAGTCCAAAACTCCATCCTCTTTGGATCCAGTGTCCTGGCTTTCTCTTTCCCATCCCCTGACCTGTTCTGACACATCCACTGGCTGCCCTGCCCCAGATCAAGGTTGTGGCAGGAGAAGGAGCCAGGTGAGGTCTCTCGGGAGGTGCAGAACCTGCTTACCCGGGACTCGGGTGGGAAACACTGACCACAGCTTCCAAGGTGTGTCCCACCCACCTGAAGTGGGCAAGGCTCCAGGGAGCAGGCAGCAGGGCGGCTCCATAGCTCCCAGCTGCTGGGAGGAGCCAGCCTGAGCCTTATAAAGGGACTTCTCTTTGTCCCAACACACACATCTCACTCGTCCTTCTCTCGTGACACTTCCTTAGCTCTGGTAAGTCTGCACCTGCGTCCTTGCCTTTCCAGAAGGGCCCAGTGCCCAGCTGCTCTGCTGCCTGCAAGAGGGGAAGGCCGTGGTGAGGACTCAGGAGCCTGGGGTCCAGTCACAGCTCTGCCACCCATGGGCCCGTACAAGGAGGTGACTGGACCAGACTCTTCCCAGTGCTCCTTTTGGATCTTCTGAGTCAAATCCTGTGAAATGTCCCCAGTGGGAGCTGAGGACAGGGCCCTCCCTTTCCTCCCTGTTTTCTTTCTCCTTGGGTTCACCCTTCTGTCAAGGTCCAGGCTGCTGAGCCCCCTCTGTGACCCTGTTCGAGGGCTAAGGGCACCCTGAGAGTGCTTGGAAGGCTCTCCTAAGCCCCAGGCCTGGGACACCCCACTCAGCATAGCCCTGGTGAGATGACCTGTCCCTACCTATGTAGGGAACTGATCAGTCAAAGCCTCCTACTCCAACCCCACCCCAGCAAATACCCAGTGACCCTCTGGGCACAGAGCTCAGCCCCTGGCCTTGGCCACAGCTTCCCAAAGGTCTTGGGGGGCTCTGCTTAGTGACTTACCAGCACAGAGCTTCCCCCTGCATCTCGAGGTGAGGATGGTTTGTTATCAGATGTCCACATGCCTGAGCCAAGGCCATTCCCTGGTCTTTGGAATGTCTGAGATGGGAGAGCTGCACCGTCCCATGTCTCTGGCTTGGGGTCCAGTCCAGCCTAGACTGTGACTGTTGGCCATAGAGCCTGCCTTGGGAAGTCAGACCTCCTCTTATGTAGAAACCTTTGAGACTTGGTGATCCAGAGAGAAGAGAGGAACAGAGGGCAGATAATCCCCAGGAACAGAGGTGGAGGGACCCTCCACTCCAACTCCTGCCAGTAGTCTCAGAAGCAGGGCAGGTGTTTCTGTTCGTGGTAAACGGAGGACAACTGTGGTCACCAGTGCCTCTGTCTCACTCCGAGGTGGTCCAGGAAGGCCTCTGCCATGGTCCGGATGGGGCTGTGTTTTCTGCTCACACTCATGTTCACACTCACACCCACCCCTGGAGCCTGCACATGTCCTTCCATGCAGAGCTCACGCTAGAGTCAGGGTGGGGCCCTTGTTCCTGAAGCCGCCCAGGAGGGCCAGAGACCAGACCACCAAAGACATTCCCTGTCCCAGTGGTGCTCACCTGACTGTGGAGCTGAAGGAGGTGGGTTCGATGCCGTCTGAGGGGTGGGCCTGCCACATGCTGGTTGGACCGGGGGTCCCACCCCAGGATGTAGTTTTTTTTGTGTTGTTGACCCCAAGGATCCCTGCTTCTGCATCTTTCTGGCCCTACCCATGGGCAGACATCTGCTCTTCTCCTACATCCCTCTCGTCCTTGGCCGGTGCCTGTCCAGGTGCAGACGTGGTCTTCCCCTCCCCACATGGAGGCGCTTTGTCCCTCCACACAGAGATGTCTACATGAGTTCTTCTGCTCCACTGTAGCCCCGTTCTCAGTTGTTTCTCAATCCTTTTCTCATAGTCCTAATTTGAGACCCTCACTTGGTGGACAAGGAAAAAAAAACTTTGTCTTTATTTCTTACAACCCAGTGAAAGCAAAGATGGGCAGCACTCAGGCCGAGAAGTCCATGATGGACCTGGTTGACCTGTTTCACAAATACACCGGGAGTGACGACACGATCGATGAGCCTGGCCTGCAGAAGCTGATGAAGGAGAATTTCCCCAACTTCCTCAAGGCCTGTGTGAGTCGGGAGGGGCCTGCCCTGGGCAGGAACAGGTTTTGTATTTGTGTTGGGTCAAGGAGCTAGTGATGCTTGGGCAGGGTTCTGATGTTGCATGGGTTCTGATATGTCCGAGGACTCATGTCTGGTAGGTGAATCCACTGTTTTTATTGGGTAATGCTGAGCCCAGTGTGCCTCGCTGATCCAGCCCTCCCAGCCCCAGGCAGGACCAGCCCAATGGGGCGATGGACCATGAAGGCGATGGAGCCTGGGTCTCAGAGTCGGAGGGCTGGGCTCCTGTCCTGCCCCTGGGGCACCCTTGCTGTGCGGCTCTGGACAGATTACCTACATACACTCTCGGAGCCTCTGTGTCTTCTGCCTAATGTATCCTCCTCCCTCTATTAGAGTCACTTCTCTGGGTTCACGTGGAGCCTTGCCAGGATGGAGCTCTATGGAAACCATAATAGTGCTGACATGAGCATAACCCTTTACATTTGGCAGAGCTCATTTGCATACTGGGTGGTTTTTTCACCTATTAGAATGCATTGAACTTATTAGCACAATGTAGCAGAGAGCTGGGCCTTCAGGAAAGGGAAAGTGGAACTTACACGTTTGGACGTGAAAGCGGTTGAATGGGAGGAGAGTAGACTACAAGAAAAGGAAGGGGGTCAGGTCAGCCTGCGTGGGGCTCCCAGGGAGAATGCGGACAGCACCTGTAAGGGGGCAGGAGGGCGGGTCTGGCGAATGAGGGCCCCTCACTCCCTTGCTAGGAGTGGGAAGAGCCTGCCCAGATCCCCGGGGCTTCGCATCGTGGAGTCCTTCAGCCGAGGAGCCCCTGGGAGCCACAGGGAGAGCTGCCCTCTGTCTCCCGCCTGCTCCTCTCCCACTCACCCCTTGCCTTGCTCCCCGCCGCAGGGTGCCGCTTCTCCTCTTTCCCCCAATTCAAGTCTCACGTGTGACGGTATTTCTCTTGTTTCTGTCCTCACAGGAAAAGAAGGGCATACATTACCTGGATGATGTCTTTAAGAAAAAACACAAGAATGAGGATGGGAAGATGGATTTTTCTGAGTTTCTCTCCTTGATGGGGGGCATAGCCGATGACGTCCACAAACAGAGCCACGGGGCGGAGCCCTGTTCCGGGGGAGACCAGTGAAGCAGCCCAGCCCAGCCAGGGGCCTCCAGAGACCCCCAAGAACAATAAAGAGTCTATTTCCACCAAATACTGTGTTATTTCCTCCTTTTCTTTGGCTGTGTGTATCTTAGAATAGAAAGTGGTTGGTTAACTGCTTTGTAGATTCTCCACTAGATGCAAAAGTCCTCTCCAGCGACTGCCTGCTCCCAGGGTACTTCTCCCAGTGCCCTGAGACTGGCTTGCACCACCCTTTTCTGTTGGGCTTCGAGACTCACTGGTGCTCCTACACCTGGAGTCAGGCTTCCCACCCAGCTCAGGGAGCCTCAGTCAGGGTGTAAACTAGAACCCTTCCCGGGGCCGTGCCAGGGGCCAGATGGTCACTTGCTCTCTGTACCACTTTAATGAGTCGAGGGGCACCAGAGGCCTGGCCCCTGCAGCTATGGCCTTGCTCCTGTGTCTGCATGCTGGGATCAGTGGGAACGGGTGTTGTGTTCTTGCTCTCAAATATGGTTTGCTAAATGCCAGGCATTCGGCTGGGCACTGGGGATGCAAGGGCAAAAGAGTCACTTCCTGGCCTAGGGCGGGAGTCTTTACAAAACACATGAAACTGGTAACGAGTCTAGCCGATTCCAGCCTGTATTTTAGGGCCTGTCATTGATGGATGAGGAGCTAACATTCATGCACCAGGTGAAGGGGCAGGGAGGAGAAAGTTGGTGCTGCTCATCTCTGAGCCTGGTACTCTGCTCGGCAAGGAGGATGCAGAAATAAAAATGATGCAGTGGCTGCCCCCTCACCAGAAAATGCCTGTCTTCTTGTGCCCTCTCCCCTGGGGGTTGCTAATTCTTCCCAGTTTTAATGCCTTTAAACCCTTCAGGCCCTGGCAGGGTCAGCATTCGTCTTTCCCAGCAGGGCCATGCTCAGATCATTTCTCCAGTATTCCCCACACCTCTAGCCCCTCCCCTGTCTTTGAGGCTCATGTCATGCTGCCCTAGGACCATCTTCCTTTCTTATTTATTTATTTATTTTATTTTTTATTTTATTTTATTTTTCTGAGACAGAGTCTCACTCTGTTGCTGGGGCTAGAGTGCCTTGGTGTCACCCTAGCTCACAGCAACCTCAAACTCCTGGGCTCAAGCAATCCTCCTGCCTTAGCCTCCCCAGTTGCTAGGACTACAGGCATGTGCCACCATGCCCCGCTAATTTTTTCTATATATTTTTAGTCATCCAGCTAATTTCTTTCTATTTTTAGTAGAGACAGGGTCTTGCTCTTGCTCAGGCTGGTCTCGAACTCCTGAACTCAAACAATCCGCCCACCTCGGCCTCCTAGAGTGCTAGCATTACAGGTGTGAGCCACCGCACCTGGTCCCATCTTCCTTTCTTATCAGATTCTCGTACTGATTTGACACTCGGCTTACACGCACCCTTTCTACATTACCAAGAGAGCACATATGGGTTAAGTTGACAGAATTCCTAGAAGTTAGAGACTAGGAGTTCTGGTCTCCACTCCTGCATGTGATCTGTGAGGGAGTGCTCTCAAGTGGAGCTTGAAAGGACTTGGGGGTAGCAGCACAGGACAGGGGGGAGGAGCACGGCAAAGGCAGGAGCTCAGCTTCAGCACGAATCCCTAGGGAGCTCTGCAGCACGAATGGAACCACAGAGTTATCCCACCTGGAGGCGATTAGGCCTGCACTGTTTGCACCCAGCGTCATTTATCACTGACTCCAGACCACCCCCGGGGAAGGCATAGCCTTGTTGGCCTTCCCCGGCTGGGAGGCTCCTTTGGAGCAAGGGCCATTTGTAGGCGAGGGTGCATTTGTGACCTATCAGCAGCCAACCCTGATAGAAACTGGCTATGGGCACAGGGACCAGGCAACAGGTGTCTGGGGGTGGGCACTTACTACAGGCCACCCCTGTGCCCACTGAGAGCCAGTCGCTTCTCATGTCAAATTCATTCCACCCAGGAATAGCTTCTCCAGTTCTAGCTGGTTGTGGTTTCTGGGGAAAACTGCCAGTTAATGGGCTACTATAGCTCTTACTGCTGCAGTTGTTTTTGAGGTCACAGCTGATACTCATCATCTCCCTCCTCTGCCACCCATTCTAGATTTCTCTGCCAGTGCCTGGTACTTCAGCTGGTCAGGTGGTCTGGCTGGTGGCGTGACCAGACTCTCAGCCCTGAGGGACATGTGCTCCTGGTTCCTGTGCCCTGATGTGGCCTTGGTTGCTGTACTTACCCATTTATGGTTAAAAGTGGACATAGGAATAACAATGGATACCTCGGTGGATCACCCTAGTGCCTCGTTTGTGCAGTGGCAGTCCTGCATGGTGATCAGGACCAATTAACTGTCCACCCAAGTTATGCCTTTCTTTTCTGCCTACTGCAGTACTGGCACAAGGCATGTAAAGTGACTAAGCAGAAGTAAACGGTCATAGGTTCCTTTACATGAAGGCTAGGGAAGTCACTCTATGTACATTTTCTGTGGTATTAGAGGGTCTTTCTTTATGGGGACCAGGTTTCTCTTTCAATTAGATGGGTTCTGGGCCTGGGACTGGCTCCGGCGTGGAGATTGGGCACTGGAAGAGCCTGTCCTCGGGTCTCAGGCTGGTCTCAGGCCTGTGCCCATCCATTCTTGGTCCCTTTGGTTATACATACAAAGCCACACCCTGGTTGGCTGCTTTAGAGGGAGGAGAAGCACAGTTCACAAGATGCCCTCCCTTTTGACACCAACTGCAAGTTCAGAGGCCTCCAGTACCACCCTGAGCTTTGATAATTTGCCGGAAGGACTCACAGAACCCACCGAAAGTAGTAATACTCACGGTTATGGTTTATTACGGGAAAGGATACAGATTAAAATCAGTGGCACCCTGCTGAGCCGTATCCCTGAGCGATGCCACTGCACCGTCTCTCTGGTCAGCTGCCTGTGTCGGTCCGGCAGCCTGCGGTGGTGGAGGCGCCTCCCGCAGCTCCTATTGCAGAGCGGAGCCCCCGGGGTCTCTGCTCTGCGCCTTCCCCACCTGCAGGTCCCTTCCCCAGCTCCCTCTGATCCTGCCCAGCGGGTGGCCCCATTCCCCTCGCCTTCGCTTTAGGCTCCTCCTGTCTCCTCTCTGTTGATTCCAGTGCTCTCTCTTAGACAGCTGATCTGAAGGTGAGTGTGTGCGTGCCACTTTTTATCCTGTCTGTGACAGCAGCACGCGCGGGCTGCTTCTAGTCCCCCATCCTGGCCCCTCATTCAAAACCTTGCATTTCTGAGATGGCAGGGGGTTCTGCCCTTTCTGTTAGGGATGAAGCCCTACCCCACCCATGCTGGGGAAAGGCAGTAAAAGTAATACACCATTATGCCACTTCCCTGAATATAAACAGAATATTAATAGCAAGCACGCACAGCAGATACCACCTGCCAATCATCTCCCAAGCGCATCACATGTATTAACTTCTTTGATTTTCACTGCAACCTAGGAGGTGTCTAATATCATTGCCATGTCTTTTACTGGTGAGGACACTGAGACACAGAGTTGACAAGTCATATGGCACCGGTGTCGGGAACCTGTGCCTTTAACCAGAGGGCGTTGGTGGTGCTTTGGGGGTTGGCCCCCCCGGTCCCATTTCCACCTCTTCCCAAAGCTCCTCTGCCTTTTACAGTTAGACATCTCTGGCTCCTGCATACGATTGTGTTTGCAGAAAATACCTTGCTATGAAACCTACTGGAAAACTCCACAGAAGGAGGGAGAAGGGCAGAGCCAGGGAGCCCCAATGTCAGGGAGGCCACTGGTGCTCCTGACAGAGCCCAGGAACAGGTGGGACAGTTTAAGGGGAAGCGAAGGGCCCCAAGGACAGGCCCTGTCCAAGGCAGGCACGAGGAGCAGCTGTGAGGAGCACTGGAAGGCCTGGCTGGCTGCCCACTGAACCATCCAGGCCCCCTTGCTCCAGGGGAGATAATTTGGAGCACAAAGCAGGCACACAGTGAACCCAGTGTCACAGGTCCTGTCCCTGGCCCCTGAGGGTTCTGTGGGGGATGGACCAAGGTTTTCCTGGTATGTTGCAGGAACCTTGTGGAGCTCTGAGGCCAAGCAGCAAGGATGCGCCTTAGGATCCATGGGTCCTGGGCTGGGGCCTGAGTCTGCCTGGCTATGTGACTTTGGTCAAGCCACTCTGCCTGCTGGACCCTGGTTCTTTCAGCTGTAACATGAGGCAAAAATCCCAGTTGTCTTCCTGGGTCTCTGGGGATGATCTGGCAGGATGACTCCAGGAAGAGTGGTTTACTCAGACAGCATGAGTGCTTCCTCTGCAACCGTCCCTTCTGGAGTGGCCTGTGGCCAGCAGGGGTGTGGCCCTGGAGACCACAGGCTCCTTGCCTGCCACCTGGGGCCTGGAGCCCATGGAGCAGCCAGAACGAGGTCCCTGGGCCATGCCTGAGCCAGAGCCCTGGGCATGCTGCTGGGCGCTGCCCTGGACCGCGGGCTTCTGCAGGTAGGCCCCAGCATAACCCCGTGTGCTCGGCCCAGAGATGACACAACAGAGACTCAAGATTTCCACAGAGTGCTAGCAGTTGGGCTTCAAAGCCAGGACTTGGGTTCAAATCCTAGGTTTGTCATTTACTAGGGGTGTGCTTGTGGGAAATGTATCTAACATTTATGGTGGGTATGGAACATCTCAGTTCCATACCCAAGCACTGAGATGTTCCACCCCAAGCACTGAGATGTTCCATACCCACCACACAGGATTTTTCTGAGAACCAAATGAGATAATACATCCAAACCTCTTAGCAGACTGCCTGGCATGTGATAACCTGTCTCAAATGGCAGCCACTTATTATTAATTATTGACAATTAATGAAAGTGAGTTGAATGACTCATTGGATACGTAATCAGAGTCTCTGATTCCACCTACAAATCCCCAAATGCTCCATTTCCCAGGGCACGGCAGCCCTCTCACCGGCCTTCTGTCACCACCTGCCACTCTAGCCCCATACGACTTAGAAAGGCAAGAGGGCTGTGCATGCAGCCTGGGGTGGGCAGGCACAATGGAGCCTGGGGCTGAGCCTTGGGTGTGAGTCCCCACCAAGAGCAGTGTCATGTTGGGCAGTTGAGGGAATGGGCCCCAGCTCCCAGCCCTGGCCCCTTCCCAGCTCTGAGCACCATAAAAAGGTCTGCCCTTCACCCAAAGGGCATCCCTCATCTGTCCTCTGTGCCTCTTCCTCAGGGTCTGGTGAGTCCCCGTCTTCCTCTCTGCTTTTTCTAGGTTGCAGGCACAACACCCTGGCCTGCTTCGCTCCCTGCTCTTGTCTGGGGGAAGCCGCTGGGCTGGGAGTCAGGACACCCAGGTTCAGGTGACTGGGGAGAATGTCTTCATAGGCAACCAAGGGACAGAGCCAAGTCTAGGATCCCCAGGGCCACCCCTACCCTCCGCAGCCCTTAATCCTACTTACTCTGTGGTGTGTGGTGTCTCCCAGCTTTGTGGGCTCCAGTCACTTTAAGACACCCAGGGGCACTGGGGGGCCCCGAGGCAATCTCAGCACGTGGGTGCTGTCCCAGTTGTCCCAGCCCTGGGATCCCCACTCACTGCTATTCTGGCCTCCCTGTGCCTAGAGCTGGCGAAAGGACAGTCCAGTTCACGAGTCTCTGCAGCAAGTGCCCCTCGTCCTCTGGGCTCCACTTGCATCCCCGACCTCGAGGACACTTGCCAAACCAGCCTCGACTCCAGCCAGGCTCTGGGGGCTCCTCTGGCTCGGCCACAGGATGTCTCCAGAAAAGTGGTGAATGGGGGGTGGTCCCGGGGCTGGGAGCAAGGGGACAGTACAAACGTACATACCAACAGCCCTCCGATGCCTCTCTGGGAGCACCAGGAGCGGACGAGCCCAGAGGTCCGGGAGACCACACCGAGTGAGGCGGGTTAAGGCCTCCCCCCTGGCAGGTGACTGTCAGCTTGACGGTGGCTCCACGCTGATGGACTCCCAGGGCGTCGAATTCAGGGGCCCTCAAACACCACCACTGCATACCTCTGCTCCCACAGCCCACCCCCGTCCTCCCTCTGCCCACATGTCCCACCCTAGGCCCACAAATCCAGGACTTCCTCCACCCTCTCCTCAAACCTTCATTTCCTTCTCTCAATTTCACCTGGACCAAAGAAACACCCATCCCTTGTGCTCTGTCTCAGCCCTGCTCTCTCAGCCCCTCTGCAGCCCCCATCCCGCACGCCATTGTCCGCCTCGCCCATTTCCTCTCACCCCTGTCCCCACGGGCTCACACGCTGGAAAGCAGAGCCGAGCCACCGCTTTTCTCTCCTGCAGCTCACTGGAAAACAGAGATGAGTGACACCGCAGCAGAGAAGATCTGGCGGGCTTGCTCAACCTGGATCACAAATATACCCGAGGTTCAGACGCTGTGGACAAAGCTGGCTTGGAGAGGATGATGAAGGAGAACTTCCCCACCTTCCTGTCGGCCTGTGTGGCTGGGGACCAACAGCTGGGCGGCAGTGGGCGGGCACGGGAGCACCGCTGGCCCCAGCTTTCCTGAGAATTCCCGCCCGCTGAGCGGCGGGCATCTCGCACATTCCCAGCCTCCTGCGTGACCTACCCTTGAACCCCAGGGCTGTGGCAGACAGAGTCCAGCATGGGGTAAGAAGACAGTTCCCTGCACAGCCACTGCTGTCCACTTACTGTGTTCTTACAAGGCACCTACTTCCCAGGGTTATGAGCATTTAAATGAGGCTGGCGATCTCTGCTGCGGGAGCACAGAAGCGGACGCAGACGTAGATCCGCAAGTGAATTACTGTGCTGTGCTCCAAGCAGCATTTACCTGCAACAACAGGCTGGATTTGGCTTGAAGACCATAGCTTGCTTATTCCTGATATAAACTACTTGAATAACACACTTAAATTTATTTATACACACACACTTAAATAAATTTGTGCCCAACCCTAGAGCATACACATGATTTTCAAACATATTTGGGACACTTAGAAAAATGGCTCATTTGTTTTTGCTAAAAGCATACTTTTAGCAAATTAGCTATAATAGGGGCCTGTCTGTAGCACCTGCTGGCCAGACGGAAGCCTTGAGCCCCTCCCCGAATCCTGTGTGGGACAAGCGCTTTCCATAACCACCCTCGCCCCCAGCCCCCACGCCCCTCCCACTGCTGTCCCCGGGCGGAGGTCGCCACAGGTGAATGGGAATCTGGCTGGCTGATGTCCTCATCTCCTCCAACTTCTGGGGGAGCTTCCTTCTCCCCAGTCTGAGGTGGAGGCGACACCATCCTGGGTCTCTAGAAAATCCCAATTTGATGGGGGAAGAGGGCATAAAAGCAGTTTGTTCTTTTTGCCATTTGTTTATTCATGTGTTGGCACTTGCAGTGCCGACTCTGTTCTGGGTGGCGGCGTGTGGCAGGGAGAGGTGAAGCAGACACAGACCGCGTTTGAGCGAAGCCCCGTCTCCAGGGGAGAGGACCGGCAAGCCACTGGGTGGTGGGAGCTTGGGAGTGGGGGGATCCTGGGGGGCCCTGAGCCCCCAGGCAGTCCAGCGGTCACTTCCTCTGTGAAGCCTTCTCCAGGCAGAGCCATCATCACCGTGTCCCTGTGCATCCCGGTGACAGTCCCGGGCACAGACATGCTTTGTTTGCCGGGGCTTGCCCTGGCCCAGCTCTCTGGGGTCTGGGCTGGGTCTCGCTCACAGTTACGGCCCCGGTGCCCAGTGTAGAGTGAGGACTCCACAGACGCTGGTTCAACTAGCAGGTGAGGTGTCCTCAGAAAGGCTCAGGTAACGTGGGTGGGAATTCTGAGGAGGGAGAGATCACTTTCCAGGTGAGGAGGTCAGGGAAAGTTTTGTTGGGATGTCCTTTGAATAGGACGTGGAGCGTTGCCAGGAGCCAGTGGTGGTGAGAAAGGCGGGACCGAGGGGAACCTTGGGGACGCCCAGACAGCGGATTACTCTGGGTGGTTCAGGGGTGTGTGGGCCGGCCGCACTCCTGCACTCAAGCAGCAGTTAGGGGAGAATGGGGGCGAGAGAGAGAGAGAGAGAGAGAGAGTGTTCCACAGCGTTCACGAGATTGTTAAGACGGGCTCTGCTGCTCAGCTGTCCACACTGCAGGATGGGAAGACCCAAATGCAGCCGAGAGCCAGGTCCCACCCCGGAAAAATTTCCAGGTCCTGTTGGGAACATGTTTGTTGGGAGGATTTACTGTCATTAATCCTGTTAGCCCGATAATCACAGGAGTTTGCTTTCTCTGAGGCTATAAACTCAGGGGGTAGTAGGAAGTGACCCATGAATGACCCTGAGAAATTTATCTGGTCAATCAAATTTGGGACGTTGGTTGCGGAGAATCCATTGAAGTTGACAGCAATTATTCCCTGTCTCATCCAAGTTCAAGAGAAGGTTGGGCCATCGAGGCTGAAACAGGTAAATGGAAGAAAGCAGTGGGGGGCATTTCAGGAAGGCTCCCTGGCCAAGGGGACTTCGTGCTTCTGACAATCAGGGCTGCCCCTATTACAGCTGGCCTCTGTCAGAGACCCCACAGAGACGGTGGCCGGAGTGTGGAGAATCGGTCTTGTTTCCCAAGCTCCCACACGGTGGCGCCACTGAGCGCCCACCGCACCAGATCACAGCGGTTTCTCCATGGTGGCGGTTAAGGGGCGTGTGTCCTCTGGTCTTCACCAAGAGCTTCTGAGGGGCAGAGAGATTTTCTCATTTATTTATATTCTATCCTTCCTCCAATGCCTACCACAGAACTTTGCACAAAATCATATCTTGGGGATGCAATTGTTAATCAAGAGTTGGCAGAAACTGGAAAGAATTAAAATAATTAAAAATTTAATAATAGTGGATTGATTAAGTAGATTTTGCTACAGGCACACATAAAATCCCTGTGATAATACAAAATATGTATTTGGTCTTGGTTCCTGACACAGGGCTTCTAAAACCCTGGGAATTTCCTGAATAATTAGGGCTGATAGGGGCATCCTTTGCTATTCATAGCAAGCCCCTTCCTGCCATTCTGAGTTTATGCTGATGAGGTGACTCTTGGTGGGCCCCTACATAGCTTCAGGATTGGGGGCTGATTGCCAGAGGAATCCCCCATGTGATTAGAAGGTTGCCACTTTCACCAGGGGCTGGAGGTCAAGTTCAATCACCAAAGGCTCGTGATTTAATCAACTGTGCCTAAATAATGGACCCTCCATTAAAACCCTAAACGACAAGGTTGGGAGAGCTCCCAGGTTGGTGGACTCACGGAGGTGCTGGGGGTGGGGGGTCACCTGGAGAGGGTGGTCTCTTCTACATGGCTGTTCCTGAGTGGCATTCTTTATAATAAACCAGTAATAATAAGCAAAGTGCCTTCCTGAGTTCTGTGAGCCCTTCTAGCAAATTATTTAACCTGAGGATGGGGTTGTGGGAACCCCGAATTTATAGCCAGTCAGGCAGAAGTAGGGGAGGCCCGGGTGCCAATATTGGTGTCTGAAGACAGGGGCACTCTTGTGGGATTGAGTCTTTAACCTGGGGGGGTCTGTGCCAACTCTGGGGAGTTAGTGTTAGAATTGAATTGTAGGATGCCCAGCTGGTGTCCTGAGAGTTGGAGAATTGGTTGTGTGAGATAAAAGCCCCACACATTTAGTGTCAGACTGTTGTGAGTAAAAGTGGTTCTGAAATTTCATATAATGTAGCTATTTAACATCAAACACTGAAAGGTATTTAGGGTTTGGGGAAATGTTTAAAAAAATAGTCCTAATTGAAAAAGCAGTTAAGAAACAGCTGGAGAAGCCACGGCCGTGGCCCACAGAGTGGACGTGGGGTGGGGATGGGGGTGAGTTTAGGGGTCTGATTGTTCCAGACACGGTACGGGGGAGAGACCCCAAGAGTTCGGCCTGACAAGGGCCTGCACACGAGACCGAGGAACTCAGGAAACGGAGCTTGTTTTGAGCAGCAGAGTCAGGTCGGGCTCTGGGTGCATAGCGGAGAGAAGCTACCTTTACCCAGGGAAAGCTAAGAGTCCCTGATGAAAAGCGCCCGTGACTTCCACATTTATAGTCAGTCAATTGGATTTCAGCAGGAGGGCCACGCCGAGAAGAAATAGTCTTTTCAACAAACGCTGCTGAAACAACTGATAGCCATATGCAAAAGAATGATGTTAGATCTGCCCCCAAACACGGCCCATCCATCACACATTTTGGATACTCTTGTGGTCATTGACTAGGATATCAGTTTGTTCTAAAACTAAAGACAAAATAGGTATGTGAAGTAGAAAGTAGATATACACGGGTGACAACTGGCAAAAATCCCCAAAGGAGCCTATGTATGTATTTAGCCAGGATAACCTGATTCATCATCTCAGATACCAAGGTGGCTGCATTTCTTTAATTTTTAAAGTACTTGCTCGGTTCTCTCCACCCCTATCCCACTCTCCTCTTAGTCAGGAATTGAATATGATCTTCTTGAGGTGTCTACCTACCCTTGAGTTGTTTAAAACCCTAGGGGGCTTCAGGGACAGTTGGGGGTAAACCTCCTTTCTGATGCTAAGCAGAAGAGGCTATTCCTTGGCCAAAGTGGCTCTGGAGATCACAGGTGTTGCTTTCAGTGACTGGTCTCCACGGTTGGAAAGACATTTAGACTGGAGTGTTTGTGGGGTTGTGAGTTGCAGGTGTGTGTGTGTGGGTGAAGTGGGGTGGTGCATGTTTGGCACCATGTTTGTGGTTCTTTCCTAAGCACGTGACCTTGAAGTTTTGTCCAGATGTCTGTCTCCACCCTCTAGACCCTGAGCTTCTCAAAGGTAGAATATTGTTTAATTCGTGTCTGTTCCCTTTCTCCCTAGCACCTAGCACAGGTGCGCCCAGTACCTAACACATGGCAAAACTCTGAAGACATATCAATTTTAAGGAAGAGTTGATGTTAAAATGTGTAAACTAAAGATAACTTAAATGTCTACCAATGATGGATTGATAAGATGAATTTTGATATATGTAAAAAAAGTGATCAGTTTATACTCATTAAAAATCAGGGTAGCATTGATTAAGCATGTGAGATGTCCACAGCATGACATTAAGTAAAAGGGTTAGTTCCAGCACAGCTGTGGAAGGAATCCTCACTGGGTATTGGCATGGTGCGGGGTGTTGTTTTGTCCCAGAGTGAACGAGGTCAGGGGTAAGAGGAGTGTCACCTGATCCCCTCCCAACCAGCCATAGGTCAGAAATGGAGTTCCTTTTGAATGACAAATTATCATCCAGCAATTGCCCAAGGCTGAATCATATTGATATACCAAATATGTTAATTAGATGGTTTTAACCTTGAAGGTTTGGGTTTTACTTTTGTTTCTTGGTTATAGATATTGCAGTGATGAACATTTTCCTGATTATTGCTTTTAACATCTGCCTGATTAAATTTTGGGGATCAATTGCCAAGAGAATGATGGCTGGATCAAAGATATTCAATAAAAGTCTCAGTGGCTTTAGCTTGGCAATGTTAAATGGTTTTTTTTTTTTAGAAATTCAAGCCATGTTTTTGGTTTAGAAACAGAAAAGTGTGTTGATGAACCACTTGTTTGCTGAGGAAATCATTACGTTGGGTAGATGAAGGCTTATCCAGCAAACTGGAGAAGGTGTTGGCTTTACGTATCTACTGATTATTTTCTCTCAAACCTTCAGGGATGCCTAGGCGGAGCCTCTGGTTCAATTTCCTGTCCTCTAGCGCCCCCTTCTGGGAGACTCACACATCGGCCTGTGGGGCCACTCCTGGGGAGCTGCCAGGGGTGAGATAGGGTCAGGTGGAAAAGGCCTCTGGGAGCATGCTTGTGTTGGGGTGAGATGGGGTAGGGGAGTCCCTGCCACTCAAATGCCCAGGTGGCACATGTAGGGGGGCCAGGCTTATAGGTCTGGGCCCCTTCGGAGCAGGGTCGCTTCCATGTTGCAGTTGCTACTATGAACAAAGCTGGTTCTATCACTGCTCTTTCACCTCCCACCCATCACCCAACTGATTGGAACACCGTCTTTTAGCTTCTTTCCCTGCACAGGATAAAGCTGCAGCTCTAGTTTGGCACACAGGGTCTGCTCGTTTTGTTTCTATCCTGCCCTCTGCAGCCTTGTTCCTTCTAACTGCTCACGATGCACCCTGTGGGCTCCACCCCCGAGTGGGCCACGCCCTTTCATGCCCCCCAGCCTTTGCCCATGCAGTGTCCTCTGTCTGCAGTGCCTGGTCTTCCATTCCTCCTTGCAACTCACAACTCTTCTTCAAGTCCCAACTCAAATATCACCTCCCTAAGGATGTCTTCCTCAACAGTCCAGGCAAGAGATGCTCCTTCCTGGGTGCCTGGAGCACCCTGTTTGGTGCCATTTAGTGTCCACAGTGCAGTGTGACAATGTGTGACTGTCCCCTCACTTGTCCCCACCCTGTGAGGTGGCCTGTGTCTCACGCATATTGCCTGCAGAAGGCCAGGTGCATCGGAGGTGCTCAAGGATATTTGTGGAATGAATCTGCTCCTTGACTGTGGAGTTTGAGGGTTCCCTAATTTAGGGACAACAACCCAGGAAGATGTGTTTAAGATGTGTCTGACCCCACCCAAGCCCTGGAGCTGGAGGCTGAGGCCGGGAGATGGATAATGTGACCTTTTGTGGTTCTGGGGGAGGATGGTTGAAACCAGGTGAGTTAATCTTAGCAAGTACACGTTGTGATGTCATCTCAGGAAAGCAATTAAGGCTCAGTCCTGCTGCTAAAGAACCAAGAAGAATCACAGCCCTGGCTGCCGTCGTTGGAGGCTGCGAGGAAGGGTTGGACGTGAGGCTTGGTGGGGTTCCCAGCTCACACAGCTGCCCCCGCCTGAGCGTCGGGGAGTCTCCGGGGTCAACCAGAAGCCGGATCTGTGGGTTGGGATCCTTGCCCCGCCGGCGACAGGTCAGTGCCTCCTTCCAGAGAACCATGGGGGTAGGATGGGCTGTGTTGGGTCTTTGCAGGTTCTAGAAAGCAGAGAGGGGCAGTTTGCCTGTTTGGGAGAAAGTGGACAGTGTGGATGGGTGTCCCAAAAGCACAACTGTGGCCCCAAAGGAGTTTAGAGCCCTAAATTAAAAGCATGTCTTTGGGCCTATTCCCAAAGACACAGGTTTGGGTCAAGCACCAGGTGGATCAGTTGTGTGACCCTGGGAAGACACTTAACCTCTCTGGGTTTCATTCCCCCTCAAAAAATGGGGGTAATGATGCCTCCTCTTAAGACCACTGTGAGGACGAAATGGGAGAAGGTGTATACGGTGCGGGGCTGGTTCCATAAGCGGTGGGGGCAGCAGTTGTGATTCTCTGCACGGCATCCGGGAGGGCAGCTGGCGTCACCCCCGAACGCAGGGGGTGTTCTCACCTCCAGGGGAAGGGGAGCAGAGGCCGCAGGCATCGGAGGGCCGGGCAGGTGCTGCGCGGAGGCTCTGGGAGGGCCACAGGGTCTCAGGGCTGAAGGGATGGTGCTGATGGCGTGTCACCTCCTTTTACAGAGGCCTGCACAGGGAGGTAGGAGCAGAGGTGGCAAACCCACGCGTTGTCTGTACGTTCAACTGGGAAAGAAAGCGACAATGACAACACAAGCAGGGGCTGGGTTTTCTGGGCAGAATAATGATTTGAATACTCCGTGTGTGGCACAAAACAGCTTATAATCGTGGGGATTCTGCCTTTTCAAGGGTTTTTAAAGATATTTCAGTTGGAAACAACATAAATACTATCTTGCTTCAGAGAGTCTTTAGTTGCTCCTCATTCTTGGCCTCAAGTAACTGCTAAGCGGAGAGAAGGTGGGAGAGGAGGAGGACACAGCTCTGGTGCCCAGGAGGCCCTCGGTCCAAACAAAGGGACAGAACCTGCCCTGAGACCTTGCAGGAAAGCTTCTAGCAGGGCAGGGACTCTGAGCCGATTCTGGAAGGGGTCAGACGGAGTGCAGAGAGGGGACCTGAGACAGGAAGCAGGAATGCGGGCAGGAACAAGAGGGCAGAAGGTTCTTGGGGGAGGCACCCATCTGCTGTGGACTGGTCCAGATGAGGTGCTGCTCTCTCCTCCCAGATTCTCCACTGTTCCCAGCTGCTCCGCCCCTGCATCCCCAGATCTGCCCCCTGCCCTGGGCTGGGGACCAGCCGTCATGACGGACACGCCAGTGGAAGAATCCCTCTTCCAAATCATCCACTGCTACCACCAGTATGCGGCCCGGGAAGGTGACGTGGAGACACTGTCCCTGGAGGAGTTCAAGGCCCTGCTCATGGACAATGTCCCCCGCTTCATGGAGAGCTTGGTGTGTAGGGCCTGGGCCCAGGGCGCTGGTGTAGGGTTGGTTCAGTGCGTGCTGAGGGTGCTAGGCAGAGGGAGCTATCTTCTAGAAGAGTCTTCCATTCAGGGCAGAAAAGGAGTGAGGAAGTGCTCAAGGGCAGGATTTGTGGCCAGAGGAGGGGATGGCTCCCTGCCCCGCTTTATTTCTCAACCCTCCCGGGCCCCACTCCAGATAGCATAGCTAGTCCTCGAAACTCGGTCTTAACCCCAAGACCGTTCCTTCCTCTGCCCATCCTGCCTCCTCTGCCCATCCTCCCCTCTGCCACAGGCCCCTCTGGTTGTCTCTGCCCCGACCCTCTGCCACCACCCAGCCCTTTGAGCTCAGCCGCTTCTGGGCTAGCACCAGCCTGGCCCTCGGGCCCTTGCCTTGGGAGATAGTGTAGGCTGCGGCGGCCACCCTAACCCAGGAGGAGAAGGAAACGTAGCTTCCAGGCTCTGCCCATCTCTTCTGTCAGCAGCCCAGACCCGTGGTTACTGGGTTCCTTAGGGACTGCAAGGCCCACAGGTGTGTCTGGGGTGCTGCTCCCTGTCCCATGGCCTGGGTCTCTGGACCGTGACTGCAGAGGACTTCAGGTCCAGCCCCCAAGTCAAGACCACTCCATTCCAGGAAAATGTTCTCCTTTAGCCGCTTCCCATCTCCCCTCCCAACTCTGGGAAGCATCGCAGGAGGCAGTCTTGCCTTGGTTTACTGGAGTGTGACTCTAGCGATGACTGTGGTTAGGTCTGTTTCCAGGAAGCCTTGTCCTTCCCTGGGCAAACTGCGCAGGTCGGCCCAAGCCTGCCTCATGGGCCCACAGCCCCTCCCAGTGCAGGGCCCTCGGGGACAGGCACCTGGGCAAGATAGCAGCCTGGGGAGGGTGGGCTGAGTGCGGGAAGCCTGCAGCTCTTTGGTTTAGCAGCTTTGTGGAGAAGAGGAGGTCCCAGGGATGGGGGTCGTGGGCAGTAGGGGAGAGAGAGGTTGCAAACCTGCCCACGGGCACAAGGGGGCTGCCCTCCTGGTCTGCAGCTGCTCACAGCTGCATGGATGCCTCCCTCAGATGCCACCCAGGGCTCCAGGCTGGACACCCCAGCAGCCAACTCCTGCTGGGCCCTTCCCCGTCCCCGCCCTGCCCAGAGTGCCCAGTGCCCACCTCCTCTGCCCTGGCCCTGCCTCCTTCATGCTGTCCTCCCACCTAGAGTGGCCGATCCTCGGCCCTCAGGGCACATCAGGGATGGCCCCAGGGCCCACGGCCTTGTCCCTCCCCTACTCTGCACTCTGTAGGTGACAGGCCAAGTGCCACAAACGGTTCCTAGGCACGTGCGCAGCACGTAGACATCGGACCCCACCCGGTGCTGCTGGAAGCAGCCACTGACGAGGGTGTGGAGTGCGTTGAGGATGCTGGGCCGCGGGGCGCTGTGTGGGGGACGGGGCACAGTTAAGCAGGGAGTGGCGCCCAGGCGACCTCCTCTGTCTGTGCCCACATTGCTCCAGGTCCAGTGCCCTGAGGCACCGGCCACCCTTCTGTCTGTTGAGACTTGGCAGGACCAGTGGAGCGAGGCGTTGTTTCCCGCAAGCCTGGCGGGGGGGCTGTGCCGCATCGCCGCCCCCCCATGGCAGGCGGGCTGTGCGCCTGGGTGCCTGGCTGACCCCTGTCCGCTCCACAGGGCCGGAAGGAGCCGTACTACATCTCGGAGTTGTTCCGGGCGGCAGACAAGAACAAGGACAATCAGCTCTGCTTCGACGAGTTCCTCCACGTCCTGGGCAAGCTGGCGAGGGACTACCACCTGCAGTACCACCGGCAGCTGTGCGCCCACCACTGCGCCCGGTACGGCCTCTATTAGAGGCGTTCCCGCAGCCTCCTGCCCACTGGAGCCCGACCCCAGCAGCAGGCTGAGCTGGCTGTGGGCAGCTGAATGGAGAACTCTGCTGTGCGTCCTCGTGTGTGTGCGCGTGTGTGTGCACGTGTGTGTGTGTACATGTCTGTGGGAAGAACAGCTGTGTGGGACAGAATAAAGGAATTTCATAAATATTTCCGGATCTTTGTTCATGATTCTGGGCATTCCCTACAGGGTCAGAAAGAGACGGTTTGGTCCCTAGCCTGGGGAGCATCCATTTCAGGTGGGAGATGCAGCCCCTGCGTCCAGGGAGCCCCTGTCTGAGGGAGGAGGCAGCCTGTGCCCTCCGCTTTCAGTCTGAAAGGGAAGAGTTTCTTCTCCTGGGGAGATAAGAAAGCCAGTCGCTCACGCCCCACACCTGGTGGATGTGAGCCCCGAGGGCAGGGGAGCACTGGGCATGGACCCGTTTCTGACGGTGTCCCCGCACTGAAGGAGAGCCCCAAGGAATCAGTGTACAAGGGTGGGCCCGGCCCCAATAAGGGACTAGGACTGGGGGAGAGGCACATTTCAAGCAGAGGGAACAGTAGCAGAAATTCATGTGGTTTATCCAGGGGCAACAGAAAGTTTGCTTGGAGAGTAGTGTTCATGGGAAGAAGAATGGCACGAAATCAGATTGAACGGGTGGCTTGGGACCAGACTCTGGGAAGTCCTTGAAAGCTGGGCATTGGAATTCGGACTTTATCCTTTGGGTAACAGGATCCAGGGTGGTTGAGGACAGGGAGGGTTCTGGGTCTGCGTGCCAAACACGGTGCGCCGTGGGATCGGCTCTGTACGGTGCGCCGTGGGATCGGCTCTGTGCGCTTCCAGAAAGTAGCTGGGGCCACGGAGGACACGCAGATGCAGCAGGAGGCTCCTGCTCAGCGGGGCAGGGGCTGCGAAGGCTAGGTGAGTGGCTCTCACCAGAGAAGCGAGAACTCAAAGCCCAGGCCCAGGCGGCGGGCTGAGGGAGGGGCGGTGCAGGAGGAGGTCCAGGTTTCAGGCGCTGGCGACTGAGGGAAACATGACGCCGGTCACTGGCACGGGGATGACAGGAGCCGGGGCAGGCAGCGGGCCCGCCAGGGAGGATCGCGCCCGGGGTTTTGTGCCGGCTGAGTCAGAGACCGAGACAAGGCAAAGCCGACAATCCAGCTGGGCAGAACCGCAGAGACCTGTCATGAGAAGAGTGATGAGGAACCTGGGTGACTGGTGACCCAGGAAGGCTTCCGGGAGGGACAAGCGTCGGGGCTGGAGTTTACTAACACCTCGCGATGATGGATGTGTGAGTTGCTCCTGACTCAGGGCTATCTGTGCCTCGAGGATCCAAGATCTTCCTCTGGTGCCTGAGCCCTCCCATCTGACACTGGCCCCTGCCCCTCGAGGATCCAAGATCTTCCTCTGGTGCCTGAGCCCTCCCATCTGACACTGGCCCCTGCCCCTCTGGGTGTCGTTTTTCTCTCCCTCTCCCCGGGAGCCCAGAGTCTGACACAGAATCCCTAAGGAGGGTCTCCCTGCCTTCAGGCACTGCCAGAGACTACTTTGGTGGGTTGACTTTTTTTTTTTTTTTGAGTCAGTGTCTCACTCTCCTGCCTGGGCTAGAGTGCCCTGGTGTCAGCCCAGCTCACAGCAACCTCAGACTTCTGGGCTCAAGCAATCCTCCTGCCTCAGCCTCCCGAATATCTGGGGCTACAGGCATGCACCACCATGCCCGGCTAATTTTTTCTATATATTTTTAGCAGTCCAGTTAATTTGTTTCTATTTTCAGAAGAGACGGCGTCTTGCTCTTGCTCAGGCTGGTTTCGAACTCCTGACCTGGAGCGACCGGCCTGCCTCGGCCAGTGGGTTGACTTTTCAGAGGATCTGTCTGGGAACTGGTGTCCTCAGCTTATTGCCACAGAAATGATGGACTTTAAATGAATGATGGGAGACCATGGCATTGCTCAGCTCTCCATGTGACCAGAGGGCCATTTAAGGAACTTGGTCTGGTTCCCTCCCTGCCTGGGTCTGTGTGCCAACCACGGTGCATGGCCCCGGGGAGCTGAGCCTGGGAGACATTGTCTGGCTCTGAAGCAGGGTTTGCCCCTGCTGCTCTCTGGCTGGCCTGCGGTCCTGCCACACTCACCGGTCCCCAAGCTGGCCTTTCAGACTCAGCCAGGCCCTCCCTCCTCTGGGAGACTTCTGCTTCCATTTCCCTCTGAACCCTCCGCTGTGGAGGGCCACGTTCTGCTGCGCTGCAGTTGTGTTTTCCTGTGCATCCTCCAGCAAGGCAGGACCTCAGCGTCCCTGCACCTGTCTGCACAGCCCCAGCAGGTGTTTGAGGAAGGAATGCAGGATGGAGGCCTGTGGGATTGGAATGGGCCACCTAGATCTGTGCTCCGTCGCCCCTGTGGGGCCCCTGATGCACGTAGAGGCATGAAGGCAGTCACCTGCGTTACTTGGGCAACTCTTCCTCGAGGCCGAGGGGAGAAATCATCCTGCCTGTCTCGCCTGAGGAGTGTCGGGGTGCACAGGCTTTGAGAACTAAGCAAGAGCGCCCAGCCTGAGCCCTCCTTGCCTCCCTCTTGCCCCCTCCTGAGGATTTCTCCACCAGCACTGCCTGCTCTGTCCTCATTTCCTCAGCCTCTGGGCTGGGCCTGGTCAGGGCTGTTGGGACACACACCTGGGGACTGAGCCCCTTCCTGTAAACATGACCAGGTTCCGCTCCCCATAGGTTGCCCCATGTCCATCAAGCTGATGACAGACTCAGCCTTTCCCCCAACACGCTTACCCAAGTCCTGACACCTGTCTTCTGCGAGATCAGCCCAGCCCGGCTCTTGTTCTCCCCAAAGCACCCATATCTTCCTGTGCAGGGGGAGTGTTTCTGGGGGTCAATGTTTCATGACCTCACTGGTTAGCCTGCCCACAATGCTGGCAGGAAGTCATCACTCATGACTGCCTTTAGTCTCCTTCAGTGGACCTGAGGAAGGACCTGGAGTAACGCCCCGTGCCTCAGTTTCCCTATCTGTCAAATAGGGATAATTGTAATGTCCATTTCACAAGGTTGCTGGGCATATCAAATGAGTCAGTGGATGTAAACACACTTAAATATAATGTGCTGCTTTGGGGTAAGGTGCTGTTATGCCAGGTCATATAGGATAGCGCCTGGTGAATAATAAGTATGAACTGAGGGCTGATCATTGGTTGAAAACTTGCTATATTATATGTCAGAAACAGCCCTATTTTCCCGCTAGAGGTTGATTCACCTCTTGTCAAGGAAGTTAGACTGCATTTGGTTAATGAGTTGTACTCTGCCTTCTTCTAAAAATGACTTAAGATGGCTGGGTGTGATACGGGGAATTTCTGCACTGGATAAGGGAAAGCCCCAAAGTTCCATTTTGCATTCATTTGTCCCCTCAATAAGTATTAATTGGGCACCTAATAGGTGCTGGGCCCTAGGGGTGTGGAAGTAAATGTGATTTCTTTCCTAGAGGGGCTCCACGTCCCAAAGAAAAGGCAGATAATAAACAGGCGAGTCATAATATAGCAGGGCAGATGCTCTGATGGACAATGAGAGAATTAACTCTCCATGGGGGGGGGAGGGGAGCATCAGGGATTGAAGCACCAGGGATGCACCAGCAGGTGGTGCCCGAGCTGGACCAGGAAGGATGAGGAGGGCGTTACCAGGACAAACAGACATTCCAGGGAGGGACAGGAAGTGGATGCTGCCACATCACATCACAAGTCACCTCAATCATGTGATACTCTGAGTGTTGAGTCTCTCCGTGGGCTTCAGTTTCCTCAAGTGTACAGTGAGAATTATACTAGTACATACCTGCCAGGATTATCGTGAGGATTAAATGGATCGATGAAAGTAAAGCACAAAGTAAAACAGTTCCTGGTCACATGGTAAAGATGCAATAAACACTAGCTATGACTTTGCCGTGATTTGTCCTGATTATTGACCATGGCCGCTGCTGTGTGTGTGCTGGGCCCTGTGCTGGCCCCCGACGGCCCGCGGTCCAGAGAGCGGGGCGCAGGCGCGCCAGGGCCACGGCTCACAGTCCGCAGTGTTACTGCGCACGCTCAGGCACCGATCCAAGCACTGCCTGCGCACTTTTTTTTTTTTGTAAACTTCTTATTAAAATATAATGCACATTAGAAAAAGCCCACAGTACACCAAAAGTCGTGACATTAAACAAAAAAAATAAAAAAGTCCACAAATCACAAATGTTTTGCATCCATTATGAATCCTCACGACAACACTATGAAGTAGATTTTTTTAGGTGAAAACATTTAAAAATTAAAAATGTTTTAAGATTATGGTAAAATACACATAAAATTTGCCATCTTAACCATTTGTAAGTGTACGGTATACTAGTGTTAATTAACGTACATTCACAATGGTGTGCAACCAGCCAGTCTCCAAAACTCTTTTTATCCTACAAAACTGAAACTCTGTACCTGTTAAATAACAACTCCTCATTTCTCTCTGCCCCTCGACCTTGGCAACCATCATTCTACTTTCTGTCTCCATGAAGGTACTACTTTAAGAACCTCATATGAGTGGAATCATACACTATTTGTCTTTTTGTGATTGGCTAATTTTACTTAGCATAGTGCCCCCAAAATTTATCCATCTTGTAGCATCTGCCAGAATTTCCTTACTTTTTAAGGCTGAATAATATTTCATTGCATGTATACACTGCATTTTATTTATCCATTCATCTGTTGATGGACACTTGGGTTGCATCTACCTTCTAGCTATTGTGAATAATGCTGCTATGAACACGGGTGTACAAATATCTGTTTGAGTCTCTGCTGTCAATTCTTTTGATTTTATACTCAGAAGTAGAATTACTGGATCATATGGCAATTCTGTTTATTTATTTGAGAAATTGCCATACAGTTTTCCACAGCAGTGGCACAATTTTATATTCCCACCAATAGTGCATGAGGCTTCCAATTTCTCTATGTTTTCACCAACATTTGTTTTTTCTGTTTCTTTTTTTTTTATCCTAGTCATCCTAATGGGTGTGAGGTGCTATCTCATTGTGGTTTTAGTTTGTGTTTTCCTAACAATTAGTGATGTTGAGCATCTTCTTATGTGCTAATTGGCTATTTGTACATCTTCTTTGGAGAAATGTTTGTTCAAGCCTTTTGCTCATTTATTGATCCGTTGTTTGGCTATTTTTGTTGTTGAGTTGTAGAAGTTCTATTATATTCTGAATATTAATCCCTTATCAGATAAACAATTTACAAATTTTTTCTTTACAACATGAGAAATGAGAAATAAATGAGAAATCTTTAGGGTTGGAAGCCAGTTAATCTGAGTAGTATTTTGTGAATGGTGGGGGAAGGATTTGCTCCTCCTAAAATCCTGAAAAATTGGTCCCCTCCTCTTCTCTTCTTGGGCATGAAGCACATCTGGCTTCTCCAAAGAACACCCCACCCCTACCCCAGAATTGACCGCCTCTTTTCATCCCATGTTCCTGGGTTTCCAGGCACAATAATTATCGCAAAGAGGGTGAGAGGCTCCCTGCTATCTTTATGTAGTGGCGCAGGGCCTTGTGCAGTGCAGAGGGACCCTGGGCAGCCTTTATCTCCCAGGATACAGTGCATCCCAGCTTCACAGAGCAGGGGAGCTGTGGAGGGGTGTGGACAGCAGGGCAGGAACTGATTTAGCCTTTGGTGATCATGTCCCCACCAAGAGTCCACCCCAAACAGCAACAACAATGACAACAGAAATTCTCCACAATAATCATTACTGAAAACCAGCAGTGAGGACAAGTGTTCTTAACCTTTTTTGAGGTCTTTGGACCCTTTTGAGACTTTGGTGGAAGCCATGGAGGCACATGTGTGTCCCATATGCACACACTCAAGATAATGCATTCAACTTCAACTCTGTTCCGGAGGTACACGGACTGGCCAAAAATGCACAGGACTGGCAACGGCAGCAGTGGAGAGGGCTCAGGAGTGGGAGTCTGGCTGGACCAAGGGCGTGGATGGCAGCTGCCAAGAAAGGGAGTGCTGGCCATGGTCACTTCCTGGTCTCTCCTGCTGGGCGCTACTGCCCAGCAAATGCCTTCCTCTTTCCGCTGCCCTCACCTCCCCACCCATCAGAAATTTTCACTGTGTGCCATGATTGCCACATTTACCTGGTTGGGAAACCAGAGGCTGTAGCAACTCTGGAAGGGAGTAGCTGTCTCTGAATGGCCTGAGGCTGCAGGCAGCTGGCCAAGCCTACCCGCTATAAAAGGGAGCTGACACTCAGCCCTGCATATCTTTTGTCAACTGACTTTCAGAAGACCTGGTAAGTGGGACTGGCCAGGGCTGCCCCATGCTTTGGGCTTCCCTTGGGGAGGGCTGGGGAAGTGAAGCAGCCTGAGGAAAGAGATCTCTCGGGGAGGTCTGGAGCAGAGATCCTGTGCTCCTGGAGAAGCAGAGTGAGACAGGGATCAGGAAGGAGTGGAGTTTTCTAGCACTTTCCAGGGGGTGCGGGCACATTTGTTTCCTAAGCTGGGCCCTTCTCAGGGAGAGAGTGGGGCTGTAGGAGAGCTGTGCGTGCATATGTGTGTGTGTGTGTGTGTGTGTGTGTGGACTCCGCTGCCTCCCACACCTATCATCCCACCCTTCCCAGCACAGCTATAGCCATCTGCTGGGTTTGATTATTTGGGTGGCACAGGCCAGGACAAAGCCATCACTCGGGGTAGGAACCCTCTGAGTGTCCCCTGAGCCTTTACTCTGCCCTGGGCAAATATAGCACCCCTGTCATGGGATTCCCATGTGGTTCTTTCTTTCAGATACAGCAACTCTTTGGGCACCATGCTGACCGACCTGGAGAATGCCTTGGACTCATTCATTGACGTATATCACAAATACTCCTTGCGGAAGGGAAATTACCATGCCATCTACAAGGATGACCTGAAGGACCTGCTGGAAACCGAGTGTCCTCAGTATATGAAGGTGAGGGCATGGGGAGGCTGGGGGTGGTTGGGGCTCTCCGCCTGGCTCTGAGGGTGCCCCGAGTCACTGGCCCAAGCTGCCCGCTGCAGATGGCCATGCCTCAGCTCTCTCTGAGGTCTTTACACTGTGGCTTTTTCCTCCTCAACCTTGACAGAAAAAGGATGCAAACACCTGGTTCAAAGAGTTGGATGTCAATAGTGATAACGCCATCAACTTCCAGGAGTTCCTCATATTTGTGACAAAGATGGGCGTGGTGGCCCATGAAGAAAGCCACAAAGAATAGCAGAGCAACTGGGCCCCTGGACATGTAACTTCAGAATAATAAAGTGATCGATACCTCAGACCTCTCTTAGTCTCTTGCCTTTCTCTTGTGGGATTAGGTTCCGGGGGAGAAGGGAGGGTTGGAAAACCAAAAGGAAGAAAAAGAAACCTCAGGTGTCCCCATCCCCACTCTTAGGAGCCTTCCATTCTTTCCCCCCTCGTCTGGTCTCCACCCTGCCTTCTTCCCAAACTATTCTCGCTCCTCCTCCAGCTCCACAGTCCCGAGTCGTTGGTTCTAGGACTTAAGGATTCTGAAGAGTCCATGACATTATAGCCAGTGACTTTATTAGTAGTTCCCAAACAGGTGATTTGGGAACAAGGTGCTGTAAGGAAAACTGATACTGTTCTCTAAGCTAAATTTTAAATGTGGCTAAATGTCTTAGATGTGGCTCTTGGGAAATTAGGGTGATAACTACATAGGAGTGTGTGTGCGTGTGTGTGTGTGAGTGTGTGTATGAGAGAGACATACAGAGACAAACTGATTCTGTGTGTGGTGTGATTAGGTGGATGATGATTAGAGTCCTACATGAAGTGGTGCTAGGGTAGCCCCCTGGCCCCACACCTATACTCTGTTCTCAGGATTTTTGAAGCTTTCCCTCTCTCTGCACTCCCAATCTCCCAACTCAATTAAATAATAAAGGAATGGGCAGATAGGTCAAAACATTAATAAAACTCAAAGGATAGGTTACTCGAATGCTGCCCTGTGGGATTCTGTGCTCTTGTGATCACTGAATCATCTAAAATAGCTTCCCAGTCCTTACATCTGTGGATTTTTCCAAGGTCCTGGTAAAATGGGGAGGCGAGAAGATGAATGGGCACCTCTGATCAGAACCTAACCCCCAAACTGGGTTTCCATGTTGTCCACACTTGGGTGCCGGGGCGACAGTGGTAATGATGGGAAATAGGGTAGGGGGCTATCACCAGAATCACTAAGCCAGGGTTCTTTATTTGTCTGTCTGTATACCTCCAAAGTGGAATTGAAGTTGAATGCATCATTCAGGTGTGTGCATATGGGAGCATTCCTCCACGGCTTACACTAGAGTCTCAGAAGAGTCCAAAGACTTCAAAAAGGTTAAGAACACTTGTCCTCACTGCCGGTTTTCAGTAATGGTTATTGTGGAGAATTTCTGTTGTCGTTGTTGTTGTTTTGGGTGGGTAGGTGGACTCTTGGTGGGGACATGGTCACTAAAGGCTAAATCAGTTCCTGCCCTGCTGTCCACACCCCTCCACAGCTCCCCTGCTCTGTGAAGCTGGGATGCACTGTGTCCTGGGAGACAAAGGCTGCCCAGGGTCCCTGTGCACTGCACAAGGCCCTGCGCCACTACATAAAGATAGCAGGGAGCCTCCCACCCTCTTTGCGATAATTATTGTGCCTGGAAACCCAGGAACATGGGCTGAAGAGAGGTGGTCAATTCTGGGGTGGGGGTGGGTGTTCTTTGGAGAAGCCAGATGTGCTTCATGCCCAAGAAGAGAAGAGGAGGGGACCAGTTTTTCAGGATTTTAGGAGGAGCAAATCCTTTCCCCGACATTAACAAAATGCTATTTAGATTAGCTAGCTTTCAGTGCTGAAGATTACACACTTCAGGTCACTAGGCTTTTGTTTGTGGTAGACTTTAATCATATTAAAATGCACATGAACAGGGAAAGGTAGCAGTTTATTATTTTATTTTAAACAAATAAATCTACATAGGTTTATTATATAGTGTTTTGATTTTGAATGAAAAGAATTTAAAAACACTGAATTATTAGTGAATATAGAATATGGTGTTAACATCATTCTTTTTGTTCACATTTGTATAGACCCAGTTTACAAATTCTTTTGTTTGAAAATATTATTTTCCCTTTTTGTGAATTTGTGATCTATTTAAGACCCTCCTTCCTGCTTTTTTATATTGAACTTCCATTTATCTTTTCCTACATTTTATTTTTCTCTTCATCCAATATATTTTAATATTTTAAGATTTTCTTTCTTTTTATTTCAACATATTATGGGGGTACAAATATTTAGGTTATGTGCATTGCCCTCGCCCCATGTGAGTAAGAGCTTCAAGCATGTCCATCCCCTAGACGGTGTGCACCGCACCCATTACGTGTGTATGTACCCATCCCCCTCCTCCCTCCCATCTGCCTGACGCCTGATGAATATTATTACTATATGTGCACTTAGGTGTTGATCAGTTACTACCAATTTGACGGTGAGTACATTTGGTGCTTGTTTTTCCATTCTTGGGATACTTCACTTAGTAGAATGGGCTCAGCTCCATCCAGGATAATACAAGAGGTGCTAGATCACCATTGTTTTTTGTGGCTGAGTAGAACTCCATGGTATACATATACCACATTTTATTAATCCGCTCATGTATTGATGGGCACTTGGGTTGTTTCCACACCTTTGCAATAGTGAATTGTGCTGCCATAAACATTCTAGTGCAGATGTGAAAGGTAGCAGTTTAAGCCCTCATTCACCAAAACTTTCATTACCAGCCAGTTTTATTAGCTGCTAACGTACTGGTGAAAATGGCTGGCAGCTGGCTGAAAGTTCAGATTGGGACCTAAAATGGGATGGGGGGATCTAGCCATCGGAGTATGGAGATGGGCTTCTGCTGGGGCAAGTAGGAAGGCCCAGGGATTAAATTGCTTCCTTCTCAGTTTTGCTGAAGGATAATCTTTGTCTGTCCCTCAAAGCTCCCACCCGAGTCAGGAGCACGGAACACCCACCCTCTCCGAGTTGCAGGAACGGGGATTATGCAGCCCTGAGAGGCCCCACAGTGATCTTGCTATGATTTCCTCGGGCACGTAGTCCGAAGGTGAGCAGCTGGCCCAGATGTGGTGGTCCAGGCAAAAAAAGATGGGAACATTTCCGGGCCTTGCCAAGTCACATCTCAGGCCTTGCTCAACATTTAAGGGATGTAATGGGAGAAAAGAAAACGAAGGAATGCACAAAAGGAGAGATCACCCTGATTCTGCCTCTCAGTTGTCCACACTGGTAGTGGTGGTGAGGGTGGTGGGTATAGGTGTGTGTGTTTGTGTGTCAGAGTAGGGATAGGGGACACCACACCCCAGTGTCTTGGGTCCCCCTTAAAATGCACCATTCAAATTGCTGCTAACAGACTCTTTGGGGGAGGAGAATTACTATTATAAATTCTGTTTGTCTTTAGTTGAAAGTCCAGTGAGCCTGCTTTCTCTGAGCCTACCCAGAGGGGCCGTGGGGAAGGTGGCCCAGAGCAAGCACCCTTTGGCATTTCACCGGGAGTGATGGGCCACTGGTTGTGAAGAATTGGGTCGATGCTGAGCCATCAACACTTGACTCCTGGGATTGTGGCTGGGCCGGGTAGGTGACCCAGCTGGCACTGACAGTCTGAAGAAGAGGAGAGGTGAGGGAGGCAGTCCTTGGAAGCTTCCTGGAGGAGGCAGGAGATTATCATTTGCATATAAGACTGTGCCCATTACAGGAACCACTGGGCAGAGTCAGACGAGACTTGTGGCCCAGAGCAAGGTGACTTGGTTCCCTGTTTCCCCAGCTACAAAAGAACAGTGGAGTGGGAAGTTAAGAAATAAGTAGTTTAGCAGGAAATCTCATGCAACATTTTAGCTTACAAAGGAGACCTTGGTTCACCAATTGAGGCAGATCCGGCCACCCTGATTTCCGGGGCTTGTAAAGATGACTTGTTTGAAATCTCCCTTCTCCTTCCGGTTCTCCACCCAAGGCTAGAACCTCAGCTGTGTTCCTAGTTGTTGTGACAAAGGTCCTAAAGGGCAGAGAGAGGTTCTGGAATCAGGCAATTGGTCTCTAGCAGTGGGGCAAAAGAGCTTGTTCCAATGGAAAAAAGACTCTTCCGTATGTCGCTCCACTCGGGACCCAGAGCCACCTTGGCTGGGTCCAGAGCCCAGCCTGTCTTCTGGGCTCCTGAGTGCGGGAATTCAGTCTGAATTCAAATGGGCAGAAGAGGGGAGGGAAAGCTACCAACACGTTTTGGGCTCCGGCTGTGTGTGAAAGACAATAAATCACCTCAAACCTGGAAAAAGACAAAATGGCAATTGCATATATTTTTGATTTCACGCTACAGTCCATCTCAATAAAAGCAGGTTCTTGCCACTTGTCCTTATCTGACATTTTTGGGAAAGGTGGTTGGTAAAGTATGTTTGCTTAACAATTCACAACAGATAAAGAAGGAGACAACTTACGCCTGCTGGATAAGGCAATATAGTTTCACAGCCTGGTCAATAAGTTAAAACCCAAACTGATTATAGTTTGTATCACCTTGTTTAAAGTCACAAGAGTCTTATATTTAACTTAAGAACCTTACTTAGGCATTCCTTTCCTGATTGCTTTTATATATTCTCAAATATATTTCAAATCAGTTTTTTAAAAAATTTCCTTGCTGATTCTCTCGTTAATGAATTAATACAAAAATTCTGACATGGGCCCGCTATGCTTGTTGATAATCTTGCTGTTTAGCTTGAGACAGTGTGGTAATTTGTCATAGCTTCTCATAACAACCCTATGACAGAGGTAATTACTATTTGCATTTTGCATATAAAGAGACTCAGAGATATTAAGAAACTTGACAAGGTTTACTAATCTGGCCAGCGGCAGAGCGGGATTAGATGCCTGCAGACTCTGATTAAGACATGAAAGGACTCCTTTCTGGCAGCTTTTCCACCATGGGTGTGGATGCACCAGCCCTCCCTTTGCCTGCCTGTCTGACCCTCTCTCCTCACCCCTGCAGAGGAGTGGGGAGAGCAAGTGCAGGTGAACTTCCCTCTCAGACCCCTCCCCTCTATCTCGGACCTCACCAGACCTGCTGCAGGGCCTGCAGTACTGTGGTTTTTTCCGTCTGTGAGTGAGGTGTGAGCAATCCTCCAGGCAAGGATAATTTTCCCACATGCAGAGCAAGAGGCTTGGCATTTTGACTTCCTTAAACTCTTAGGGGTTGAAGTTTCCTGAAACTCTTAGGAGTTTCAGGTTGCCCCAGTAACAATTCCCCTCCCTCCCAGAGAGGAGAAAACTTCCTTCCAGTC